TGTTCTATTCTATTATTCTATTATTCTATTCTATTCTATTATTCTATTCTATTCTATTCTATTCTAATTCTATTCTATTCTATTCTATTCTATTCTATTCTATTCTATTCTATTCTATTCTATTCTATTCTATTCTATTCTATTCTATTCCAATCTCTTAAATTTTATTCGTTTTCCTCTCATTACATTTTGTAACAATCTGAAAAATCCTCTAGGATAAACCCCCACGATCCCTCATTTCTATTCCAGATGGCTGACTAGACAAAACGACGATGATGCCAAAGCAGTAGAAGATATCCGAGTTTATTTTACTCATGTCATAGCTGGGGTAAGATAGCAGTTCCTTTTTTAAGATATGAAAAGACGAGGTATAGTGTCGAGTGAGGGTCTGTATTACCCATAAATGTAATAAAAATAAAAATAGACTGTTTAGTATATAACCATTATGAAGTCGGAAGTGGTAATGCGACGTATTTAATGACTGTAATTACATTACATCTATAGGCAACAAACATCTACATTTCAACACCGTGAAACTTTTTTTATACGGGACTTTCACATCTCTTTCTCTTTCTTACTTTTGTAATCGCTGATTTACAAAACGTCTGATTTACAAAACGTCTGATTTACAAAATTTACAAAACGTCTGATTACAAAATTTACAAAACGTCTGATTTATAAAACGTCTGATGTATAAAACGTCTGATTTATAAAACGTCTGATTTACAAAACGTCTGATGTATAAAACGTCTGATGTATAAAACGTCTGATTTATAAAACGTCTGATGTATAAAACGTCTGATGTATAAAACGTCTGATTTATAAAACGTCTGATGTATAAAACGTCTGATTTATAAAACGTCTGATTTACAAAACGTCTGATTTATAAAACGTCTGATGTATAAAACGTCTGATGTATAAAACGTCTGATTTATAAAACGTCTGATTTACAAAACGTCTGATTTACAAAACGTTTGATGTATAAAACGTCTGATGTATAAAACGTCTGATTTATAAAACGTCTGATTTATAAAACGTCTATTAAACTGAAACTCTGATTTGCAAAGCGTCTGATTTACAAAACATCTGATTCACAAAACGTATGATTTATAAAACGTATGATTTACAAAACGTCTATTGAACTAAATCTATGATTTGCAAAGCGTCTCATTTACAAACGTCTGATTTACAAAACGTGTGATTTAACAAATCTCTGATTCACATTCAGAAAAACTATGATTTTGTTCAGCTTGAAGATGGGAAATTAAGAATGCGGCATCCCGTAAAAATCTTAGAATCAGCTGAAGTAATCACTAATTAATAATACCAATACCTATCTCTATCTGTTTGTAGGTCAATCTACGGTTCCAGAGCATGAAACCAGATTTAGATATATCCATCATACCTTATAGTATTACCATATTTAAGGTTGGTGCACCGTTATAGTTGTTGTACACTAAAACTTTTATCAAGCAAGCGGTCAGGGGAATGCTGGCTGCTTAGAAAAGGGTCAGGCCACATAACATATCCGTTCGCACAAGTTTGACTGTGCAGGTATTCTCGATGTCACTGGATTGTTGCTTTGCCCTAACGTTCTATTCTATTCTATTCTATTCTATTCTATTCTATTCTATTCTATTCTAGACTGCTATGCCGTGGACAGATGATATAGCCTTGGTTAAAGACGGAACAAAACAAGTGGACGCTGAAAAAGTTCTAGAAGAATTACAAAAATGGTTACCAACCAATTTTTCAGATCCTTACGATCATGTTATGGCATTTACAGGGTATGTACATTCTACTTTCCGGAGGGCCATTTCACCCATTGCGTCTTAAGATAATAACTTATACATGTACCCCCCTAGACGATAGTTCAAACCGATTCTTTCTCTTCAGGGGAGAATAAAATCCCGTTCCCCTTTTAAGACAATAGTTTAATCTCGGTTTTCCTCACAGAGGGAGGGCAGTCCATTCCTTTCGGACGATAGTCCACCTGATGTGCCCCTTTTGGACTAAATGTCAACTGATGTAGACTCACAACTATTATTCAAAGTTAACTTAATATAAAATAATTAATTTGTTAAGCGCCTTCAATTCAGTAAATAATACTGCGATAACTGACCGATTAGAATACCTTCGCTGCAAGTGTGGCTTCAAATTTTACGAATATTAAAGATGTTTGCTGAATACGACATTATCTATTGTTGTAAGAAAATTAATATATTTTATTCTGTATTCAGGTATGATCTATTCAGTTCTGGAAACGAACAGTACACGACTGGACTTGCCAACATTGGTAAACTATGTAAAACTGATGGCTCCAGTACGTCGATTGTTGAAGATAGGGGAGGTTTCCAGAGTATTGTAACAGCTTCTCATGAATTGGGGCATGGGTAAGGCAGTATGTCTACATTTCAACCTGTGGCGCCGCCAGGATTTCAATGACGGGGGTCATTCGAGCACCATGGCCCCCGAGGGTACGCGTCGCGATGGAGGGGAGGGGGGGGGGGAGGGTGAAATCTAGGAATCTAATCTAGGAAGGAGGAGAATGTAATGGCAGTGAAAGTAGGATAAATTGTTCATTTATTTATTCTAATATTCCACTTTTACACAACAACTGCTAAAAGACCTCACTTTTAATTTCCGGTTCACTTCCAGAATAAAACTCCGACATCTGGTTCGTTCTCAATTTAAGAAAAGGGTATCAGCACGATTTCTGTCCGACTTAAAACTCCATTCTATTTATTTCATTTCAAACCAGAATGAACAGTTAAAACATACAACTCTTTTATTTAGTTTTATTCGATTTCATTAGGACAGGTAGGGGGTAAAAAACTCATTTCATTAGGACAGGTAGGGGGTAAAAAACTCATTTCATTAGGACAGGTAGGGGGTAAAAAACTCATTTCACTAGAACAGGTAGGGCGTAAAAAACTCATTTCATTTAATGGTTTTTACATAAAAATTCATTTCGTTACATTTCAGAATGGACTCAATTCCGTTTCATTTCTATTTCATTTCCTTTCATTTAGTTTCATTCGATTTCATTTCAGAATGGACGGTGTCCATGATGGAGAAAACAATAACTGTGCAGCTGAAAGTCGATATATCATGTCACCACGATCAGACTTTCAAGAAAAACCAACAAATATTCTAAATCCCTGGAAATTCTCATCGTGTTCTGTCTCACAGTTTCAAACTTTCCTAACCAAAATATTAAACGACGGGTAAATATTAAATCTTTTATAGCAGCAATGTGACATAGCGATGATTGTCGATGGGGGCCGATAGCACCAGGCATTTAAGAACTGAATGGTTTGAAATTTGAAACTGGGTGTGGGGAGCAAACGCCAGGCAAGTAAAATTTCTGAGAGGAGGTGTGGGGGGCTGGCCTCGCTAAGAAACGCCACTGCAGGGCAGATGATGGTCTTTGTTCATAATTGCAGTAAATGTCATTGTCTTGTCCAAATGTTTTGAAGTCTGTTCCTCCTACATTTATATCGCGGGCTACATCCCTACTTTCATCTGCCTCCAGTTGGCGACATTGTTGGAATCGTTCATATGACATCGTTTGCTTGGTCGATTAAATGATGGTCGTGCGTTCTAATCTCCACCGGCGCGTGACTTTGTAACCTTAAATAAGTTGTCTTCCGCATTATTCCAGTCGACCCAGCTGTAAATGGGTACGGATAATTCAGGAAAGATGAATCAAGAGGTTTTGTCAAGGACAGGATGGTAGGATAGGATCCTTTTGAATCACAGTTGTCATCTTTGAAACAGTTAGTTCTTATTTAAAACGCCCTTTTTCATTCTTTAATTTCAGCTCTTTGTCCACATGTTTACGAGATTCGATAGAGCCAAAAAATATCCCTGATATATCTAGTAAAATTGCTGGGCAGGTGTACGGTCCAGACGAACAATGTCGCCACATACATGGTGCGGATTCGTACGTATGCAGGGTATGTAATCTATTGTATTTAAGACAGCTAATAGAAACAAAAAAGTAATTAGGTGACTCAACTAGAAAATTAGGGGAGGGGGGTCTCGGGCTTAAGTGGGATGGGCCAAATCCCTCGGACAATGCGTTGAATATTGTGTTGTTTTGTGTTTTTTCCAGGGCAGCTCATTCGGAAACGGAAGTGAAGTTTGTAGAAAGATGTTTTGTTCTAAAGGAGCAAGCGGAAGCGGCACTGATGACTGTGAGTCTATAACACCAGCCCAAGGAACATCCTGTGGAAATAAAAAGGTACTTGAACACTAAATATAAGTATTTTGTTGGGCTGATTTTCTGGTTTGTACAGACCCCTCGATAGTTGAAAATCGAAAATGAGTAGACTAATGTTGATGTCCTGGCTAAATTTCGCTCATGAACACTGAATGGCGTTACCCGTAT